CTCCTCCCGGCAAGGCCTCTCTCGCGCGCCACGGTCACGGAGGACCTCGGTGTCCGCCCGGTGGGTGGTCCCCGCAGCGTGGGTGTGGTCACCAGCGCGTGTCGGCCAGCACGTGTGTCCAACTCGGGGCCCCGCTGCAGTGCCGGCATGGGGTCGCTGGTCTGGAGGTACTCGCGAGGCAGGAGGAACGTTCAATACCACCGCCGGACGACAGGTCACCACCCGGGGGACCTCCAAAAGGTCGGCGCGAACGCTACCACGTGACCCGGTCGCCACACTGTCCCGGTCGGCGTGCGGACATCGGAGCTGCGGTAGCGAGCTCAGAGCGTGGCGAAAAGCATCAGGCAAAACGCCCGTCCACGGATTCGTTCGTGATGCTCTCAGGCAGTTGCCCCAGCCTGTAAACCCTGGTCCTGCAGCGTTAAGGGACGTTGGAAGTTGCAGGATATGACTCATCATCCCGATGGGACTGGTTTAGTTTCTTCGGTTCAGTTGGATTCGGTTTGATGATGTTTATAACAGGCATGCTGGGTGCAGAACTGTGCATGCAGTCACATTCAAGCGGTGCCTGTCCCCCGAGTCTTTCCTTTCCAACCCACGTGTGGCATCAGAACGTTTAAAGGTTAGAGCGATGTAGTTAACTAGATCACTGACCATTGAAACATCAAGGTAATCCGCATCGGGACGTGCAAGTCCACTTGATAGATTGCATTGCGTCACTCAGGTGCTCCAAACAAAATTCCCTCACCGCTCTCAAGAGTTAATCTGGATAGGGTCACGCGGCTGACTGGGTCATGGGATTGTGCCGATACAGCCGATAAGGGAGTTCCCTCCCCGATTAGGAGCATCTGAGTCAACATTGAACCAGGATCTGCTGAAAGTTGCCGAGGCGTGCAAAGTAGTCGACTCCACTTGAGTACACTTCTCACGAGCGAGGCTACAGACCGCGTGATACCTATTTGGACTATGAGACGTTCAGGTTGAACGACCCAAACCGACCGGTCGTCACCATTTCCAAAAACTTCGATCTGTGTGATCACTGATACTGGCTCACACTGCTTCAGCAGCGAAAAGAGCAATATTTGAAAGTTATATGCTGAGAATCGCTAGGCATTTGCATACAACCTGCTTGATCGGGCGGAATTTTTCTGCAACTTTGCGTTATCACCGCAATTGCACAACCCCCATTCCAATTTTCAAATCACAAAAAAGCTGAGGAACAGGCATTGTTCCCGGGTCCGGATCTAAAGGCAGGGTGTCGCAGCGACGCAACGTTAACTGAGGCCACGGGAGGAGATTACCAGCTGGTGTGTGCAGATCGGTCGCTGTGTGATCTGCGACAAAGTGTATGCCGATGTGTGCAGATCAGTCGCTGTGTGATCTGCGACAAAGTGTATGCCGATGTGTGCAGATCAGTCGCTGTGTGATCTGCGACAAAGTGTATGCCGATGTGTGCAGATCAGTCGCTGTGTGATCTGCGACAAAGTGTATGCCGATGTGTGCAGATCAGTCGCTGTGTGATCTGCGACGAAGTGTATGCCAATGTGCAGATCAGCACGCGTTGTCGTGCGCAAACCAGGGATTTTTTTCCGTCGGGGGATTGCTGTTGGATTTCAACAGCCAGAACGGATTAAGATGTTACACCAACTGCACGATGTAGGCGAATGTGCCGGGCACATGTCACTGGCAGATCCCAAACCAACTGCACGATGTAGGCAAATGTGCCGGGTACATGTCACTGGCAGATCCCAAACTGTCCAACACACAGGTGCGCCAGTAGGCGGTCGGAAAGTGTCGAGTGTCACTCGCTTTGCAAATTATCACGAAGTACATGAGACGCTGCGGTGTAAGCTGTTAGAAGGCTGTTACAAAATACTTGTGTTTCCGCAATACTTTGGCCACCTTCGCCAAAACGCAGATTATCGACAATACATTAATGTCGATTAGAATCGCCAAGCTGCACCGGGCTCAACACCAGCTAGCCGTCGAGCAATGTCAGCCGTAAATTAGCGTGCCAATGTTAGGTAAGCGCACCCTTGCCTGCCTCATTCTGATTAAAGACACCCTCAAAGGCAATGATTGGACCCACTGGGAACGGCTGTCTGACGTGTCCGACTCCATTTGCCTCCGTTTTGGCATGACCGTCATGATAACTGACATCTCTCACGTCCGTTATCGCCTCACTCGTGTTAGATCGCACTCGACGTCTTACTAGATATGTTGCTTGAATCATTTGAATGTTGATAATTATGTATTTTGCTCTGCCTTTCCCAATTATGTTGCACTGAACGTTTTGCATCCAGCGATGCGAAGAGCGCCAATTAACAGCTCTCGCCGCTGGATCGCATGGCCATCAGCCAACCTTGGTTGCCATGGCTACTCTTCTAGGGTCACGTGACTATAGTACGCCTGTCAGAATTCTGGTATCGTACAACCTTTCCGAGTCCCCGCCCAATGTGACGCGTGCTCCCTCGAACACGGCAGCAGGCCATAGGCGCATAATGCGCTGGTGATTCATACCAGACGCATTATTGTGATGTGGTGTGGACACATCACGGCAGCGGTTCTGCCAGAGGCAAGAGCCACGCTTCGGCGCGTAAACCCGACGCGACACGGGAGTCTAGAGGCCCGCGGGCGAAGGGTTTCCGCTCTGGTGCTCACTAACACGACGAGAGATGTTTCCACCGGCCCCGTCGTTGTTTTGCTTTCCGGGTGCGATATATCTCCAGAGCAGGATTAATGCCGTGGTAGAGGTTTCTCGCCTTTTGCGGAGCAAGGGGAAAAGAAGTCGGAGGAGATAAAGCGGGCACACATGTGTCCACCAATGTGGGGAAAAGAACATGATGGTAATGGAGCTGGCGGCGGAACAGACATCGCAGGAAATAGAAATATGGACAAGAGGAGGATAATTCATGGAAAACAGCAGTATGAATAGGAGGAAGTGTACAGAATAGATGAATTAACAGCGG